TTGCATTGTGGTTCATTGCTTCAATTAAGTATCAATGAAAACAGTGCTTCTCAAATTATCTGTGAGAAAAGACCACTTTTTAAAAATGTTTAAATCAGTCACAACTGACACTTTTGTAAATTACAATTAAAAAATAAATTATTGGTCAAACCAATAGAATGTACAACACCAAAAATGAACAATAATGTTAACTATAGACTTTGGGTTCTATGCTGTATCAATGTAGGTTCATAGATTGTAGCAAACGTGCTGCTCTGGTGGGGAAGGGTAGTGGTGGGAGGAGGTACAGGGGTATATTGGAACTCCCTGTACTTTATGCTCAATATTGCTGTAAACCTAAAAATGCTCTAAAAAAGAAAGCTTATTTTCTAGGAAAAAAATAATTACTAGAAAAATGAAATAAAAAAAGAAAAATCACAGCCAATTCTATGATCAGATTCAATATACACAAAATTGTTGCAAGTTACTATAAAAGTTTCTAAATGGATGCTCTCAATTCCTGTACTTAAAAGGACTATAATTTGTGAATCAAACTTGAAGTAGTAATGAATTATGTTATTAAATGTGTCAAGAATAAATTATTAACATCTGGACTATAAATAAGTGCCAGCTGAAAGTTAGAGATTATAGGAGCCCACAGATTTTTACAGAACAATGAAGTGAAGTGGTTAGGAAGGCTCTGAGAAGCAGGTGACTCATGATCAGAGAGAATGAACAGAGACACGGATGTCTGCCTGAGCGGGATGGCTGCTGCCGCGTGGGGAATGGGTCTGCGCGTGGATACCACCGGCTGCTCTCTCAGTTCTCTCCCCGGGGGCCTCCTTCCCCAGTCTCCTCGGGCGTCTCTGGCCCACTCTGCCCACGCCTTTACCGGAGACCAGGCCATTTATTAACAACAACAACGAACAGGCCATTTAATAATAACAGCAACAACAACAACAAAGAAGTAAGAAGTAGCAAGAAGCAGCAGCAGCAACTATCACTTATTGGGCAATTACCATGGGAACCATATGAGGTTGCTACAGAAGAGGAAACTGAATCAGAGAGAAGCAAAGAAACTTGCCCAAGGTCACACAGCTAATAAGTGGTAGGGCTAGTAAATGGTGCAGCTGGGATTCCAATCCAGGCAGCCAAGCTCCAGAGTTCTTGTTCTTAACCTCCTGCTCTTCACCTCAAGGCTGTGCTAAATGAGGGTCTGTGGAGTTCCTCAGGTACATTAGGGGTGCGGTGGAGAGGAAGGTCATCATCTGTAGAGGCTGCTACCCCTACCAGCTCCCCACCTAAGAGAAGCCTTAGGCAGAGCAACCATATTGGTTTGTTGATGATACTTCTCAGTGTCAGCAAAGACCAATGAGAGAGAAATTTAAAGACTAAATCAACAGGATTTGAAAACTGATGGATAGAAAGCAAGTTAGAGGCTGTTTGGTAGGATGCAGTGTTAACTGAAATCAAGAATCAGATCTGCCTTCAGGAATCTCAAATTGCATTCAGAAAAAACCAAAGTGTAACAACAATTTTGCATTCAATAAAGAAAGTAATATGATTTGCTCCAGGCGTCATAGGAAGACAAAAGAGGTGCACTAATCTAGCTGGATGAGGAAAGATCATCAGGGAAAGTGTAAGATAGCAGAACCCATTTTCTAGAATGATAGACCAACAAATCTAGTATTTCCCCATTATAATCAATCAACAAAAACTTTAAGTGTTGTCTCTGCCTCTCAAAAGTTAAAATAGGAGCGCTGTAATTGTATTTGAGGTGATTCTAGTTTTCGGTCTTCTAAATATCTATTATAAACTTTCTGTCAAAACTTTTATCCTCAAACTTTTCAGTTTGGGCTCTTTTTTAACCAAAAATGAACCGTATAAATGCTACATAAAATATAAATATATTCTTGCCCTTTTCTGAATGGTAATCTTAAGAATATTGATCACCAGATAGGGAACACAGCTGCCATCATTTTAGAAAAAAGTCATGAGTAAAGGTTTATTCTACATTTTGAAACATCAGATGTTCTAAAAAGCTCAAGAGAATCAAGTTAATTTCATCATCCCTAAATATTCTAGACATAATGCAATTTACATTGTTTAAATGTTTACATTAAAATTATTTCCATTAATCTATTTATATTACCTCCATTAATCTACAAATTACACACTACTGCATAAATTTACTTAACCTGTTTTTAAAGAAACCAATCACTACCAGATATAATTCAAGTTAAAGATGGTCTTCAATAATGTCAGTGATATCTAAAATCAAAATATAGCTTTGAATTTGCCTAAAAATCAAACCATGTGCCTGCATTGTTCATATCCTTGTGATAAAAGTGTTACTCACTGAATTGGATCAGGCTTGCTTCTAAATATATGTAAAAGAAAATCTAATATGGGAAAGCACAATAAAATGAAGAGGTTAGATATACACAGTCTTTGGAGGTTACCACTGGAGGTATGATCACCAAAATCAGGGAAACTGAGTAAGCTGTGGGAGAATGACACAGTGAGGAAAAGACTGCACAGCAATTCAGGTATTCCAACTCTAGATTTATTTTTGTCCATCTCCTGAGCTCTGGGCTTCAACTTCATCATGTATTAAAAAAGGCATTGGACTAGATAAACATCAATGTCAAACCCAACAAAATCTAAGATTCTAAATTCTGCATTTGTTGTCCTAATGTTATCTTAAATTCTGCATTTTATGTCATGTGGGAAATTGCATGTTTTTCACTATTAAAAATTATAGCCTAAAAAAATTAATGAACAGAGACACGGGAGAGCGACTCCGCTAGAGGGTACAGTGTGTGCATTACTCAAAGTGTGTTCAGGAAATCATAAATCTAGCTAGAGAAGGAGATGGAAAAAGAGTAGTGGGAGAGAAGTGTGGAAAGTTAGGCAGGGATAGATATTTAAGGACTTTAAACGGCATGATAAAGAATTTGGATGTTATAAGACAGGTATTGGGAAATGATTTTATTTTACTTTTTTAAGAATCACCTCTTTGGTTCCAAAGTCTGAGATTGGAAACGACTTAGTAGGACTGACTCATGTCTTTTCCACGGAGTGTCAGCTGCAGCACATTGGCTCCAGCACATGCACCAGGTTCTCAAGTTGATGCTAGATATTGGTTGGGATTTTAGCTGGGGCTTTTGCTTGGGGCTTCAGTGCCTCTCTATGTTGGCCTTCCTCATAGCATGGTAGTTGTGTTCCAAGAGCAAACATTCCAAGCAAGACAGAGTTGCAGCTGCCAGTCTCCCTGTTTGGGCCAGTGAACTGGTACAGAATCACTTCCACCATATTCTGCTCAGACACCTGCAGTGTCTGCCAAGATTTAAGACAAGGGGCCATAGACTTCATGTGTCAATAATAGTGAAAAGGAATTTGAACCACTTGTAAGTTGATGCATGAAGTTAGGACTAAATTGTGGCCCTCATTTGCCTCCTCACCTGGATACTTTTTCAGTAAACAACCGGAACTGCTACATATGACAACCCTTCCAGAAGAGATCCATAAGGGAAACACTCCTATGAATTGCTTTTTAGGGGGGGGAATACAAGGTCATGAATGTCACATTGAGAGAATTAAGTATTTCAGGAATGGAATTTAGCAGACTGGCTGTCGAGTAAGGTACCACATTTTTCAAGAGCAGGGTAAAGTGTATTTGAGCTTCTGCTTTTTGTAACTGATCCTCACATGTGTGATCTTTCAACCAAGTGTGATCTTTCAACCATTTCTTTCCCACTACTGTCAGTCTTACTGAGGGTGTTGGGGGAGCTTGGAACTCCCTTTTAAAATTTGAGGGGATAGCCCTGGCTGGTGTGGCTCAGTGGATTGAGTGCCAGCTTGCGAACCAAAGGGTAACTGGTTCAATTCCAAGTCAGAGCACATCCCTAGGTTCCAGGCCAGGTCCCCAGTTGGGGGAGCCCAAGAGGCTACCACACATTGATATTTTTCTCCCTCTCTTTCTCCCTCCCTTTCCCTCTGACTAAAAATAAATAAAATCTTTACCCCAAAAAAAGTTTTTTTAAACAAAGAAATAAATAAAATTTGAGGGAGTAGATTTATCTAGAATACCCCTTTTATTATGTGTATAAATCTGCATATATAAACTATATTAATATAATTAACTCTGAATTTTTAGAAAAAGAATGGTGACTAATTTCTATATCTAGCTGTATATGCCTAAAAACATGTACATACAATGTATGTACACATGTATTTGTGTATGTATATGTCTATGTACACTGTACCTAACTTCTGTCTTTCTACTCCTTATGGCCTAATGCAAGAATAAATGTCCTCATATTCCCCTGTTCCTTTTAACAGAAATAAGTTTGGTGATAAAGGACTATTAGATAGAGAAAAGGATTTATTCTAAATTTTGTTATTGACACCCCCTGTTTTTTAACCTGTGGGAGTAGGGCAGGGGGACAGAGGATTCAGTGTACTTCTGTGCTCTTGTTTAAATGCACATAACCCAGACAGGGTTGTATAGCTTAAATTTTTATGAGTGAATTTACCACATATATCTGAACAACATAGATTCATGGTATAATTTTAAAAATTATCTACTTCCATCTTTGGCATAAGTTGAATGATAAATCCATTAGGCTTAAAACAAGGAGACCTGAGTAATATCTGTGAGATAATAGATATCACAGTTATCTGTGACCTGAGTAAGATAATTCAACACTTTATATATCCATTTTCTTGGATTTAAACATGGAGATAATGTTATTGAATGGGGGAGTATAGAGTTAGAGATGCAAATATCATTGTTAAATGATTTTTAAAAGTCATACAAATGGATAATATCTAGGAATGAAATTGAATTAGATATCCTTACTTTAATAAAAGCCAATGTTATTGTTTTTAAATATGTTTAAAATGTTTATGAGGCCAATTTGGAACATTTATAGTCTCTTTAACAAAATATTATGCAAATCTTAAGCATTTTTCTGTGTCCTTTTCATCTTTACAGATTTTTTGAAGCACTCTTAGAATCGTTCAATTTAGATCAAGATGTCTAGCAAAGCAAATGCTTCCAAGAAAAGGTCTCAACAGTTAAAAAGAAATCCAAAAAGAAAAACTGGTGATGAGGAAGTGGAGTTATCAAAGAAAAAGGTAATGAAAATAATCTCGTTTATCATCCAGAACTCTTTTTATTTTTTTAAGATTTTATTTATTTATTCATTTTTTAGAGAAGGGGGAGGGAGAAAGAGAAAGAGAAAAACATCAATGTGAGAAACAGCAATTAGTCACCTCTTTCATGCTCCCAACCAGGGACCTGGACTGCAACCCAGGCATGAGCCCCAATCGAATCAAACCCACAACCTCTCCATCCACGAGATGCCACCCAACCCACTGAACCACACCGGTCAGGGCTCATCCAGGACTCTATTAGAAATATCATTCATTCTCTATAAAGGAGTATCTAAGGACTAAAGGTCATTTTTACTGCAAATTATAGCAATTCATATTGTTACACAGGAGCTGTTACAGCATGATTTGTGAAAGTTCTCAGATAAAAATTGTTTATTTCAGTTCTGAAGGTATTGATCAGAGAATTCTTTGGGGAGGAGTGCATCCTAGGTCATTGCTAAGGTGTTTAAATGGGAAGACTAGGAATAGAGTGTACTAATTCTATGGCATTCATAAGTTAGAAGATAAAGGAATCTGGTAGTTGGTGGAGATTTTTATTAAAACAGAGAACAATTAGTTAGGTGGGACTTATTTTTTTTCTTACCATGATTTTCCCCATCTCTTCTAAAAGAAAGCCACAATTTGTTTTGCAGGTAAAGGATGTAACACCATTTCACTGGTAAAATGAGTAATGATTTCTTTAAGACATTGTTTGATACCATGTGAAATTCTATTGTCCAGGAATAATGTACATTATTACCATTGTCCAGGAATTGCTTTAGTATATTTTTTGCCTGTAACAAGTACAACCTTTTTCTGTAGAAGTGGCAATATACTTTTTTTCTACCTAACCAAATGTTATATTAATTCTCTTCAGTATACATGACCACTATTATCAAAGTAATGGCTTTATATTTGATGTTTAATTCTCTCTGTATATGTGCACATGTTTTTTCCTCTAGGTTAGAAACACAGTGAAAAAAAATAAAAATCATCCAAAGCATCTGTCTTCTGAAGGTATTTCTTTTCTATCTTATTTAGTCTGTCTTAAGTTGCCTATATTCATGAAAAAATTATCAGCATCTTGTTTATGAGTTCTTCAAAAGCAAAAGATGGCAATAAACAACATTCTCATTTTTGCAAGAATACGTTTTACTGATTAGTCAGTTACTTTGGTTAACTGAAATTTTATTTACCATCTCTAGCAAAATATTGTGTAGGGCTATAAAGTTGATAGGAACTAGAAAAAAAGTGTACCACAGCCTGAATTATTACTGATCTGTGATATATAGAAACATATCCTGATTTCTCTTCAAGACAATATGCTTCTGTTCTGCCACCACTGTATAGATTAATTTGGAGCAACTGTCTAATTTTATTTGGAGTAAATTATTTTAAAGTATCCATCTCTACTTAAATTTTACCTTTTCCTGGAAGAATTCCCTGCCTTTTTTTTACCTAAGAAAAGGTTACATCATCTCAGTTTATACTTCCATAGAGCACAGTACTTTTGCTTTTATAATGCTTTTCATTCTTATAATTATTTGGTCTTCTTTCTAAAACAAATTTTCATGTGAACCAATAGTATAATTCCTCTGTTTATCCCTTGTAAGTAGAACAATTAAAAATCTAAACATTAAGTGTCTGCGGTTTGGTTAATCTCTTTTGTTCTGGTTGCCATCCAACATTTAATAGAAATAGTTTTCTAGTCTTAACAAACTTTTTAATTAAGGTCATTTCTGAGACCCATACTCTTATGTTGAATCCTAATAATTGTAGTTTAGTTCTTCATTTAAAATTGTCTCAGGTTTATATCTGCAGTATCAGTCAATGTTATTTTAGTTAACAGTAGATAGCATATTCATATTCAATTCCTGGCATGTTATAGCTGTGCATTAAAAAGGAAATTAAACAATTTATATAGCTTTATAATATTTTGGTTCTCATAACCCCATTAGCTTTTTTAGATAAACTTATATATCAATCATTTTTTAAGTAGAAACATACAACTTTCTAGATTGACCAGAGTCTCTTCTTTCATCAGAGATAGGACAAACAGAGCAAACTAGTCTAAAACAAGTAAAGATAGCATTCAGCAAGAGAAAAACCTGGCAACCTCTTTCGAAAAATAGCAGAAAGCATTTGCAGACTATGATGGAAACAGTAATAATGTGAGTATGAAATTTTTCCATTTAACTCTTGATTTCTACTTGTATTTTCTATAGACAGTCTTCTTTTAAATGTTACCTATTTTATGGTGATAGGGTATTTTCTCTTCCAGAAGAAGGTATATTTATTTTCTTTCAATGGCATTAACTGTAGCAAAAAAATTTTCCATCACACAAATAAAAATGAAGTCTGTATAGCCCAATCTGTAAACTTTAACACGTTCTATCAAGAGAACTTCAGGAACTTCAACTTCAGGAAGGGGTTGAGTTTAAATTGACCCTTTAGTTGGAAGTTACCATGCCAGAGGAGAGTCAAAGGAAATAAGAATTCTGCCATCAAGGAGATGAAATCTATTAGAAAAGTCAGGCATATAAAGCAAATACAACATGTAATATGATAAAAAGAACTTTGATTACACCTCTGCTTAAAATGTATACAGAAGGAAAAGCAATTCATTCAGACTGGCTAGGAAGGAGAGGGATTTGAAAAAAATCAGAGAAAAACTAAACATTTTATTTGTGTTACAGACTAACATTTAGTCAATCCTTTTTTTTTCTTTTCTAGAGCAATTTTGAGTAACAAAGGTAGAGAAAATGAACAAATCCAATATCATCTCAACTGCCTAAAGAAAAGGTAATATGATTATGCAAAAGAAAATGATTAAAATATATTTAGTAAAAATCTAATCTGTCTCTGTGTTGCCAGAACAGACATTTGTGGATTATAACAGTTTTGCATTTGGGGTTTTTGTTGTTGTTTTAAAAAGAAGGACAATTTGGGAATGTATACTCTATCCTAAACGGCTGCTATATGCAATTCTGAATTCTTTAAGAGAATTTTTAATGAAGAATCTGAAAATGACAAAATGCCTGCTTCCATAATTTACTTTTATGTATTGGGATTTGAAAAATATTTTGTCAACTTGAACTCCCTTCAATTTCATTTTGAGCAATTTGAAATTAAGAGTTCACCACTCTTATTTATCCTATAGAATATTTGTCCTATTGCTGTTTTTCCTTAACTTTATATTGAGTTACATTATTTGCACAAGCAGCAAGTGTCTTTTTCCAGGATATCACTGTTCTTCATCTTGTGGCAAGTCACAAATGGGGGTTTCTTTTCATGTGTTTTTGAAAAGTCACACCAGCCCTCACCCGTGTGGCTCTCAGATAGGGCATCGTTCCACAATCAATTCCCGGTCAGGGCACATGCCTGGGTTGCAGGCTGGTCCCTAGTTGGGGCGTGTGGAAGAGGCAACCAATCGATGTCAATACTTCTCTCTGTCTTTCTTCCTCAGTTCCCCTTTCTCTAAAGATAAATAAAATCTTTAAAAAATATTTTTTTTTTAATAGTTATGTTCCTTAACTCCAACTAGCAACAGCAAAATAGCACAATGTCAGCTGTGCACCAGAAAGGGCCAGGAGTTCTTTTGCACTACAGTAAAAATGTTTTCTTTAAAGTGACACCACTGTCAATGATTTTCAGTGACATTTTTCTAGTATTTTGTACATTTTCTTTTCATAGAAGAATGTTCTGCATCTTAGTTACTAGTGTACCTGGAAAAGTTTGTGACCTAGTACTTTCTTGGGAAGACTGAACACAAATTCTGCTTACTTTAATTGTAAACTCTGAAGGATAGCAGCAAAGTAAAAAGTGTGGGATTGGGTCAGTAAGGGTGGGAGTTTGTGTAGAGAGGTGGAAGACATTAAAGAAAGACTGCTAGAAGCAGGCCTGTGAACGGCTTTTAGGAATAACAGCGTAATATTGAAGAAGGAATGCAGTAAAAAAGCTAATAAATAAGATAATATATAATAAAGATATAGATATTTATAGTCTTTTTAATATAGAACAAATAATCGTGTGTGGTGTATAAATGAGAATATAACAGTATGTAGTAGCTGCTGTTCACTGTGATCACCATGGGTCATCAGAAAAGATTAAATTCTCTTCAACATATAGACTGTCTCTTCATCATGTAGCAACCATGGAGACATATGGTTCAAAGACTGCCTGTTTTCTCTTCATTTTTGCTTTCACATCTCACTCTCTTTCATTCCCAAAATAACAATACTCAAGGTAGTTTCCCTTTTACTAATATAGCAGTGTATACAGCCTTAGCAAATTGATTTTAATTGGTTAGCCCCTACAGTTTCTAGAGGAACATGTTTTGGGGAAGTTGTCCTGTAGAAACAATATATAAATGGTGATTAGGTGTTGTTGCTATAGCAGGGTGTATTCATGTTATACCTGTAGTTTTATTAGATTTTAAAAGAATCCTGAAAATCTGACTACTATTTAGAACACTTGAAACAGCGGATAACCCTTCCACAGATTTGACTTAATAAACTTTTAGAAAAAAACTGTTCATCAATGGAAACTTTATTTTAGTTAAGAAATCAAAAACCCCTCTTGGGAAGATTTATGTAGACAGGTTTTTATGCTTCAATGTGATGCGCTAATGATGATTTTCTGGATAACTGAAGTTTATCCTAACAGCTTAATGAAAATTATGATTGGGATTTATACTGCCTACTATTTTTTTACAAAAATTAATATTTTGAATAAGATCCACGAAGATGTCTTGGGTTCCACTGTTCAAGGTAGATAATAGAACAAAGCACCCCAATGTGCTTCTGTTAGAAGCAACCAAATTTAGATTTTTCTACTATGGAATTCAAGAATCAAATCATAGAACATATATTACTCACTACAGGAAGTGAGGGCAGCGATACATCAATTTCTACTGATGTCCTAATCAACCAAATTCAAAGGAGGATTTTTTAATTTTAATATTGAATACTATTTGTGTTGGTAGTACTTCAGAACAAAGCATTTTAATCTCAGCATTTTATTTGCCTTACAGTGTATGGGACTGTTTTCTTTAATGTCATCAAATTAAATTAATTAATGAAGTCCTGGTCACATTTTCTAAAACAACAGATTTGGAATCCAGGCTCATAGTTAAGACTTACAGAGTAGCGCTCATCTTTTACCCAGTAATTCACAATAGATGATAGGCTTATGAGCTGAAATAGTCTAGGAAACAGAAAACACAAGGAAATTTTTATTTTGAAATGCATCTAACTGTTAAATGTGTAAAATAGAAAATTTTCCTTTCATGAATCAGCCTGAGTGCCCCATGATTTGAAGTAAATCTTAATGAAATGAAAGGTTAAGTGATGATTTGTCAGGTCTTTTTTGAGGGGACTTTCTGCTAAGGTTAGTCACTGTTGATAAAAGATTATAGCCCTTGGGGATATGCGGGCAAAAAAGGTGATAACAGTATTCCAAAACAAAACGAAAGTAATACTAATGGTGCTCAAAATATAAACTAATAATTGTGTTTTTATTCTATCCCTTAGGTTGCTTCAACTATGTGAAACCCTAAAAGTCCCTCCCCAAAAGCTAAAAGATTTCACTAATGTGTCAAGTCTACTGAAAATGGAAAAAGAATATCACAGAGCTAATGAGGAAGGTCTGACATCATTGCAGGTATGAGATTTGAACAGTGAGTCTGTAATTAGGGGGAAGGGGAAGAGACCAAGAAGTTCTTAAAATTACTATAATATTCTTCTGGTAATACATACTAGATCTTGTACCAGATTTTTTCATTAAATTCCTTTTTTTGTAATCTAAGCAAAAACTTTGTCTAAACTTAGGTGGGCCTCTAAAGTTAGAAATATTTCCAATATATTAGTGATTAGGTATCTGTTTTATTTTTTATCAAACTTTATAACTGAACTATCTTTGTTCAGTTTATAACTAAACTAGCCACACCAGCCGGGGCCAAGTATATGTTTCTTACATCACAGCAGTTTGTGGTTTGCTTGATAGTCAGTTACTCAGTGGAATCACTGTTGGCATTTTGAGCCTAAGAGTTCTTCATTGGTATAAGAGAGTCTCTGAATTAGGAGTTTGTGGAATTTGTATTTATTAGTTTTCTCCTATGTGCATTACTTAGAACCACTGCTTTTTTTTACTGCAGCTTAGAGTTACTTGTTGGTGTTGACTTTCCAAAACCTGGAAAAAACCCACACAGACATGGGGAATATATGCAATTTTCACGTAGGTGGTGGCCCCAGCAGGGAATTGATTTTTTTTTTCTTGTCAACATTATAACAAAAGGAAGTCGAATGAAACATTATTCGAGGACCTGCTGTACTAAAAAATTAAGTTATAGAACTCAGGAAAGAATTAGAAATAAAGGAAAAAGCCTTTCAGAGATGCAGACTAAATTAGGAGTACTAAATCAAAGAAACACAGCAGGTAATGCTTACAATAAATAGAAGATAAAATAAGGGAAAAAATTTAAGAATCAAAAAGAAAGATTGTACTTTAAAGGTATCAAGAAAAAAGTGGCAAACACAAAAGTCTGACAAATAAGAAGCAATATGGATATGGTAGGAATACCCAAAGAAAATAACCAAAGCAATGTAACAAAATTAATTTTAAAAAATTTTTCATGAAGAATTTTAGTCTTTATTGTTAATTCTTCACTCAGTGCTCTGATTCATTCCTTTCTATATGAGTTGAATGGAGGACCCCAGAAAGATGTGTCTAAACCCTAACTCCTGGAATATGGCCTTATTTGGAAGGGGAATCTCCCAGGTGTGATTAAGTTCAGTATCTCAAGATGAGATCATCTGGATTATCTTGGGCAGAACCTAAATCCAGTGACAAGTGTCCTTATAAGAGACCCAGACAGGAAGGAAAAGTCCACATACAAACGTGCAGAAATTGGAGTGCTGTAGCTATAGGGAATGCTGGCAGCCTCAGAAGCTGGAAGAGGCAAGAAAGGAATCTTCCCTAGAGCCTTCAGAAGGAGTGCCACCATGCCAATACCTTGAATTTGGGACATCTGCCCTCCAGAACTGTGAGGGAATAAATTTCTGTTGTTTTAAGCCAGCAGATTGTAATTTGTTGTAGCAGACACGGAAACTAATACATATGGTTTACATTATATTTGTATTTGACAGCAGTCTCAATTGAACAACCAATTCTTAGGAAATTAGGACTGAGGAACAAGTTTAAGTGGTACAGCCACTTTGGAAGATAGTTTGGCACAAAACATTTTTGCCACATGATCCAGGAGAATTCTGAACACAGATCTTTGCAGCAGCATCATTCATAGTTGCCTGAATTTGGGGAAAAAACAAGATGTCTTTCAGTAGGTGAATGGATAAAATACACTGTGGTACATCTAGACAATGGTATATTCAGCATTAAAAAGAAAGGTACTTTGAAGCCCTGAAAAGATGTGAAGGAAGCTTAAATGCATATATTAAGTGAAATAAGCCAATCTGAGAAGGCTATGTCTATGTGATTACAACTGTATGACATTCTGGACAAGGCGAACCTGTGGAGACAATAAAAGGATCAATGATTGTCCGGGGTATGCAGTGGGGTAAAGATGAACAGGCAGAACACAGGATTTTTAGGCCATCAGTCCACAGTCTGTGCTGGATTTACACAGATCTTCCAGAATCTCTGATGCTAGCAGCTTTGGTAAGTTTCTCCTTGTACGTGGGGTATATCTTTTTGTTTCAAGAAATAAAGTTTCCTTGTAATACAATATTACCTTGATAAATTAGTGTCTAGGAAGTCTGTTTTGTGAAAGAAAAAGCTATACTTAACAATTCTAGCAGTGTTTATAAGGTGTTTTGAAAATATGCATATTAATATCTTTTTTTAGTTTTATTTAATAAAATATTTTATTTGGAATGTTAACTTTCTCTTTCTGACTCAGGAAGAAATAGATAAAATAGTAGAGACCACAGAGTCAGTGACTGGGAATATTCAGAGCCTAAAGAACAAAATTCAGATTCTGACAAGTGAGGTGGAAGAAGAAGAGGCGAAGGTAAAACAGGTAATTGTTTAATAATGTACTGCTAGACGCTGGGTGTAATTTTTAATACTTACATTTTACCAAGACAACTTTTGAGTATAATAAGCTGAGAGGAATTAGTCTTTTGAAATAATCTGTAGCTTTCTTTTTCTACTTTAGATGTTTCACATAGACATTAACAGGGCACTCTCCCTTCCAGAACTTCCCCAGAAGAGTCTCAAAGCACCCATACTTCAGGTAAGTACCAATTTATTATATTGACTGTATCACTAGTTATGAGTTGGATCTTTAAAGGCATTATAAGCCCTGTTTCTTTTTGTAAAAAACAAATGGAATTCATGACATAAATATTCAAACAATTATTTCTCATTTGATACTAAAATTGGAATATCTTTCTTTGTCAATTTATGTAGATATATCTAGTTCTTGTCAATAGCTGTATAATATTCCATTGTATGGATGTACCATACTATAATTTGTTAATTACTGATGAAAATAAAAATTTTGGGGACTACAGATAACACTGAGTATACTCTTGTACATATATTTTTACACATTTGTGTGGTCATATAACCATAGGATAGATTTCTGGAAGTAATTTCTGACAGTTGCTTTTGTTTATGCTTCTAACAATGGCATAAAACTCTTCATAAAGTAGTAATATGTCTTATTTGTAATAGACTATATACACTGGTAATTTGTCTTCAAAGGACCTTAGTAGATAATATAGTGTAAATATTTATAGTGGTAGAAAATCTTTACATTTTCTCAAAAAATAATTTGAAATTTTCCTATCTATAATTCACTTAAGGTGTAAGTAACAGAAATGGGCAGAGGGAAAACAGAATAATATAGATTTGAAAGAAGAACAGCAATGAGTCAATGGTTACTGAAGTTGGGTGATAGGTACATGAGATTTATTATATCATTCTGTAAATAACATACATTTGGTATTTTTTATAATAAGATTAAAAACCAATTATATGGGTGAAGGTGACTAAAAGGCACAAAATTCCTGTTGTAAAATAAATAAGTCATGGGAATGTAAAATACAGTATGGTAATTAGTTAATAATAATGTATTTTTGAAAGTTGCTAAAAGAGTAAATCTTAAAAGATGTCATTTAAAAAATCGTAACCGTGTATGGTAATAAATGTTAACTAGACTTATTGTCTAGTGGTAGTGCACTTCACAATATATACAAATATTGAATCCTTGTTATACACCTAAAACTAACGTGTTATATGTCAATTATGTCTCAATAAAAAGAATTATTTTAACTCATCATACATTGTACCCACAGAAAGAAATTTTGACACAAATTCCAAACCAGAGTGCTCTTCTGAAAGACTTGGATGTTCTCCATAATTCATCTCAGACAAAGAACATGTTAACGTTCATCAAAGAAGCCTATAAGAGACTGGATGCCTCTTAAAGAATGTTTTTTAGATTATTCCACATTAATTTAATGTTTATAAATTTGTAAAACTGTTAACCTATGATGATATTTCAGAGGCTAAGGCTTCTTCAGGATGTATTATTTCCTAATATGGAGTTTAACATTAGCCTCTGTCAATCTGCCATTAGCATCTAATGTAGCCCTGAAAACTGTTTTTAGCAGTTGCCAAGTCTTGGAACTCATTTAGGTTGCTGTACTTCAGTTATTTACCTGAAACTATAAAATAAGAACAAGTCACAATCTGATAATTCATAATGGCCAAATAGAGCTCATTTATTGATTAGTGCAGAGGAAATTTGATGCTGTGGCTTAATATATGTAAAGTGTTTATAGTACCTAGTTCATAAAACTGTGTTTGCTATCATTATTATTCTTTAGCTGATGACTTGCATTTTCTGTCTGCTTATCTGGAACTTGAGAAATCCCCAAATGCCTTTATTTTTTTTACATAACTCCCTAGACTTTGTGGTGTAATTAAGATTTGCCAGGTGTCTTTAACTCTGGAGGTAGCAGAAACATTTTATTTCTTTGGTTGATTTAGTGAATAAATGCTGAATATTTATTATCCCCTATCATCAAAATCATACTTTTATTTTATAAATTTATTCAGGAGAAATGTAAGCATGGTTATTTCTTCAAAACAAAAACCAAACCAAGAAAACTTCCTAAATCTTTCCTCATTGTGATGATATGTATATATATGTGAATAAATAATCACTAAAATATATCAAAAATCATTTCTAACCAACTACCATATATTGTTTGGATTGCTTTTCTCTTTTTGTAAAATAAAATAACTGAAATTTAATTATTTTTCTGTCTAACCTAGAATTATTTGTCAGTTAATTTAGAAGGTGCCATAATTCTGTTAATATCCTCCAGGCTGCAACCACTAGGAACACAGCTTTCATTAAACTACTTCAGTTTAATGCTCATTGAAGTGAAGGAGGCCACTTGCCATAGGAAACCCTGGGCAGCTCAGTAAAAATGTCAAAGGTAATTTCCTCTTAGGAAGTAATGGTCAAAAAGGACATTAATGGATTTTAGAGCAAAAGAAAGTTTTTAGTATAGGAAACCTGTACTGTAGCATTGGACTGCCATGTCAGGCAAAGCAACTAAAAGATTTTAAAAATATCTTAAAACTTAAAAATCTTCACTTGTAAATTTAAAGCTTTGTGGTTTTAAAGTGACTAATAGAGCCCCAACCCACTGATTTCTATCATTAATCATGACATTTATAATAGCTTTTCGTGGGGGTGGAGGGAGGTACATTAAAAATCCACTGATTCTCTTGGAACATCTGTTTAACAGATTATTGAACAACTAGAATTTTTACTTTCCATTGTTACTAAGTGATAGCTCATGCACCACCTGGTCATGCTACACTCTTGTAGCTTTGAAAAGTACATGATCTTTTGAGGGATCTACAGTATCTTCTGGGAGGTAGCAGGTGGTTCAAAACATACACAACATTTTCTTTAAAGGCTGCATTTCGGTGCACTCCTTATAAATAATTTAACAGTTAATTGCAAACCCAATTAAAATGCAACTGCACCTTGTCCCAGTAATTCAAATGGCCGTCTCGCTGTGTAGCATCCACACCCACCTGGCTCCTCAGCACGATCCATGCCAACTACGATACAGCTCTCCAGTGAGGAGAGGATAAGCGCCAATGCCAGAAACTTCACATTCTAAAAATACTTATTTTGGAATGGAGGATATATAGTGTCAAAGTGTAGCATATGATAAACAGCATTTCAAATAAACTGCAGAAAAACATCCAAGAAATGGTCTTAAGAAAACTGCTAACCACACCAGAGAGACAGAGGGCCAGCAGTTCATATTCCTACTTGCTAAAATAGATTCCTAATAGTTAAATATAAAAATACAAACTTACAATAGCAGTAACGAATAGATTAAATACCAGTAGGAAGGTGGTCAATTCTCCAAGATACATAAATAGCCAATAGGTATTTGAAAGATGTTCAACTTTATAATAATCATTTAAATGCAAAATAGAATGTTTTCACCTATCAGACTGAAAAAGGCTAGAAGGGAACGTTGCTGAACATTCAGGCAAATGGGCCTCCAACGATGATGTGGAAGGAAGGAAGGTAAATTGGTGAAATTAGTGTGTGTGGAGGGGCGCCGCAGGACGCAGCCACAACACAGGCTGCAGAACCTTAGTGTGCTGTCAGTCAATTAAAATTCTTACTATATGGAGTCCTGCAGAAATTTGGAATTTCAGAGAAAAGTAATAATGAGTAAATGGGAAATCTCTGGTCAGCAAATTGTTGCTGCGCTCGAAAGAATCAAGCTAAGTATTCAAGAGAAATTATCTACACTACCTTTAGGCACATTAAAATCTCTGGATTAAACATATCTTCACCAGCGTAGCATCACATTATTTGAAAAGTTTGGGGTTTCTGATTACATTTTATTAAATATTCTTAGCAATTAAAAAAATAAAAAACTTTACAGGAGCCCTCCCATTTCCCCTGGATCTCAGATGGGCATATGTTTTACAAACAGGTTTTGTTTAAATATGACCTGCACTGGAACCTGAAATTAAAGGATTTACTTTCTTCTATTTGGTTGGATAAAATTTCCTGGCATTCTCTATTTACCAAAAATAAATGCAGGTGCACCTGTCAAAATTAGTATTTGAATCATGCAGATTGGCTTAGTTTCCAAACGTTAAGTCTTCTAAATCCTCTCATGTTTCATTCCTTTGAGGAAGAGAAAGAGGGAAAATATTCAGCTTTGAGGAAGAGAAAGGGGGAAAAAAGCAAGCAAAAGCAGAGAGAAATTCAAATTTCCCACTTGGACTTTATCATGTCAAAGTGACTGGGCCTTTTTTTATGTTAAAACTAGCTTTCCTTGTTAAGAGTTGCTGCCACTGAATGTAGTCCTTTGCTACTAAACCACTGTAGAAATGCTTTCTGTTGGCTTAGGTGTTTGTTCTCTAAAGCACCTCTGCTGTTATCAAGGCTATCAAATTGCTGTAGCAGCCATATCTAAAGACCAGTTACAGTTATTAAAATTGGACAAAGAGGTAGGAGGGATGTTTTACAAATTCAATAAAACTACTATAGACTACTTTTTAAAAATAAAATTATTCATATTTTAACTAATAGAAACATATATACCTTAGCCAATTTCACCCTTTCATACCCCCAAGGAAGTCCTTAATGTAGTTTCCAAATGGGACAATAGGACTATATAACAATAACAATGATAAAAATGGCTGACATTTAGTGATGTGCACTATATGCCAGACACTATATGCCAAAGTTTAATCCTAGTAACAACATTGTGGGGATTAAACCCCATAGCAGTCATTATTGTTTTTTATTATTTTTAATATATATTTATTGATTACTGTATAACAGTTATCCTATTTTTTTCTCCCCTTTATTCCCCTCCACCCTGCACCATCCCTACCCCTAACATTCCCCCCCACTTAGTTCATGTCCATGGATTGTACATATTAGTTCTTTGGCTTCTCCATTTTCTATAGTATTCTTCACCTCCTCCTGCCTAGTTTGTACCTACTGTTCATGCTGCTTATTCCCTGTACCTTTTCCCCCATTCTTCCCCTTCTCCCTCCCCTCTGATCTCCATTTCTATGATTCTGTTCCTGTCCTAGTTGTCTGCTTAGTTTGTTTTTGTTTTTGTTTTAGGTTCAATTGTGGATAGTTGTGAGTTTGTTGTCATTTTACTGTTCATAGTTTTTGATCTTCTTTTTCTTAGATAACTCCCTATAACATTTCATATAATAAGGGCTTGGTGATGATGAACTCCTTTAACTTGACCTTGTCTAGAAAGCCCTTTATCTGCCCTTCCATTCTAAATGATAACTTTGCTGGGCAGAGGAATCATGGATGTAGGTCCTTGTCTTTCATGACTTTGAATACTTTCCAGACCCTTCTTGCCTGCAAGGTTTCCTCTGAGAAATCAGCTGATAGTCTCATGGGAACTCCTTTATAGATAACTGTCTCCTTTTCTCTTGCTGCTCGTAAGATTCTCTCCTTATCTTTAACCTTGGGTAACCTAATTATGATATGCCTTGGTGTGTGCTTCCTTGGGTCCAACTTCTTTGGGACTCTCTGAGCTTCCTGGATCCCCTGGAAGTCTGTTTCCTTGGCCAGATGGGGGAAGTTCTCCATTATTTTTTCAAATAAGTTTTCAATCTCTTGTTCTTCCTCTTCTCCTTCTTGCACCCCTATGATTCGGATGTTGGAATGTTTAAAGTTGTGCTGGAGGTTCCTGAGCCTCTCCTCATTGTTTTGAATTCTCATTTCTTCATTCTGTTCTGGTTGAATGTTACTCTCTTCCTTCTGCTCGCAATCGTTGATTTGAATCCTGGTTTCCTTCCTTTTATTGTTAGTTCCCCATATATTTTTCTTTCTTTCACTTTGTATAGACTTCATTTTTTCCTCCATTTTGTCACCATACTCAACCAATTCAGTGAGCATCCTGATTACCAGTGTTTTGGACTGTGCATCTGATAGGTTGTTCATTGCTTAGTTCTATTTTTGGAGCTTTGTTCTTTCATTTGGGCCATATTTCTTTGCCTCAGCTCACCTGTTACATTGGGAGGGGCAGAGCCTTAGGTATTCGCCAGGGCAGAGCAACCCAGGTCACTGTGTTGTGACATTGTGTAGGGGGGAAGGATGAGAGAGGGAGCAATGCTGCTTGCTCAGCCCTCAGCCGGCTCTCAGTCACTTCCTCCCCACTACCCACAGCAAATTGGGCCCTTCTGGTGCTGATTCTTGCATGAGTTTGTGTACGTTCTAGGACCCCATGGGTCTCTCCAAAGGACTCTCCTGTGAGGTTGGGAGTTTCTCCTGCCACCGCAAACCCCACTGGTTTTTACCTCACAAGGTTTTGAGGCTTTCTTTTCCCACCCTGGAACCCTGGGTTGTGCGGTCTGTCTCACTCCCCAGCTGTTCCTCCTGGTGTATCTGCACGTAAATGTGGGACCGCCCATTCTGCCAGCCACCACCTTGTTGCACATCCTCTCCACCCCTCCTACCAGTCTGGATGAATGTTTCTTCCTTAGCTCCTTGGTTGTCAGACTTCCATGCAGTTTGATTTTCTGGCAGT